AAAAAAAAAAATTAATTTCAGAAAATTTATAAATTCGTAAATTTAATAACGAAAAAATATATGAGGTTGTCCACCGAATTATAATAGAATCGTTGTTTTCTCTCATATTTGTTATCACTTCTTTATCCTCCTTATCAAGGATCACGAGAACGAACGTGATTGTAATTATTATCATCCTCCCCTCCTTTTCTTTTTCGTTCATCTCACTAGAAGCTCTTTTTCTTTATCCTTTGTTGGCTATTATATGCGAACATCTCGAACGACGAGAAAAATTTGATTTCCTCTTGATTTTTCTTTATTATCGAATCCCTTCTTCACTGCCTTTTTTCAATTCGCCCCTCCAACTCCCTCGCTCTTTTTCTCGCACTCTTCTTCGCGAGAAAAAGAATGGTGTGAGCAATGTCTCGCTTTTGCCGTGTATGTGCACGCGCCTCTGTTATAATTACCATGAGCCACGTTCCGCCTTTGAAATAAAATGTGTATAAGTGATTGTTATATTTATATTATTTTATATTATTTAAGAGGGAGCAACAAGGCGATAAATAATCAGAGAATATTTTGGCTTATGGCTTCGGAGAGAATGTTGGAGAAAGAATCGTGCACATGAAATCACAAATTTTTTATAAATTTTCAAATATATTTTAAGTTTCAGATTTTCATTTTTATAATCTTCAAACATTCCAATTTTCTAATATCCTTCAAGTTTCAAATTAATATCTTTTGAATTCTCGATCGAAAATTTTTTTTTACTCTCTTCAAGATATTTGAAATTTCATATGAAAAATTTAGAATTTTAATATTCAAACATTTTTGAAAATGTACGAAATTACGAAAATAAAGTAGAATTTTATTATTGAAAAAGAAAAATAGTGTAGTCTTTTTGTTAAATTAATGGATTATGCGATAGAAAGAAACGAATAAAAATTTTAAAATTAACGCAAATAATTAAATTCAATAATAGCTTTTAATTTTCTCTATAAAGAGATCCTTGTGGAATGTCTGACCACGCATCGGTCAATACTACTCACTTAGGCGTTCCAGCCTCGAAACACCTTATTTTCTTTAATAACACGCCAATTAAGTTATCACGCAATATTTAACGTAATTTATAGTTCTTTTATCTATCACCTTAATTAATCACCTTAATAATTACCGGTTATTTTTTTTTCTATCGCCTTAAATAAAAAAAAAAAATAAGAAACTTTAATCCAAATACGCGATTTAAAATTTCATTTCCAAGGAAAAACAATGAATTTTATAATCGTTCTGTTTCGAGATAGAGATTGTACTTAAAAAAATAGAGAGAAAATTTCACGAGTTTAATCGCTTCACCACGTTGCTTACCAGATTCTGATTCTTTTATTTTCAGAGCCACCGAAGCGTGAGTGTCTACGCGAGTAACAGTTTTCCGCCTTGGTTCCTAAAACTTTCACGGTTATTCGCCCGGGCCCCCACAACTTCGTGAGAGATTGTCTTCTCGTATATAGGGAACGAGAGCTGATGAATAGCGAACGGAAGTCGATCGTCTCGTCGGATCGGAAGCTGTGAACTTAGAACGTTCTCACGATTCACGAAGGTGAGTTTCACTATTTTAGAATATTATTTTTTCTTACCATCCTTACCTCGTCGCAGGTAATACTGAAAGTGAATTTTTCGTTCTAATCTCGAGGGAAAAATAACCTAAAAAAAATTTTAAAAATTAAAAATTTATACAAATAACGATTATTAATTAATTAATTATCTCGTAACATACATTTAACAAAAATAATTTTTATTTTTAAAAATACGAACAAAATATATTTTTTCAATAGGGATAACACAATTTCTTAATTATTTATATATAAATATTTTTCTCAAAATACATTTTTTTCAGAATAAACTAGTTCTAAATCCATCCTCTCGATATAACGTCTTCTTTTGCTCTCGAACAATAGGTTATTCAAGAGTTAAATCGAAGGAAAATTGGTTGTGCTCGATAGGTGATTCGATTTTTATGCTTGATCGCGATTTAACGATGCGTGGTTGGTTGCACGCGAACTAGGTAACCGGGGGAAAGCACATTTAATTAACTCGGTAAATCGGTCGGTTATAGGGCCTACTCGACGCTTTGATAATCATCGCCGCCGATAATTTCTGTAGCGTCGTCGATTCGCGCGTATCTTAAGTTAATAGGTCACTGCTTACGTAAGTGCTTCGAGATGCACTTTCGAGTAAGCAGAAATCCACCTCTACAAACGGGATTGCCTTCGATTTAACGAGCATCGTTTGTCATTTCGTTTGAGCAATAGTGACACCGTTCCAGAATAGTACCAAGTAATGAATAGAATATGAGAATTTATCCGGAATCTTTTTCCTCTTCAATTCGTTATATCCAAACGAGAGAGAGTGTAAACAAAGAGAATGTAGAAATTTTCTTTTTCATTGAGTTTCAAGATTAAGTAGGAAATATTATATAATAAATTGAATCATTCAGAATCATTGAGAATTTGTTTGAATCAATATCTTGTTGATAAAATTTTTTATTAAGAAAATTTAGTGAACAAATTTAAAGATATTTTATTCATAATTATTATTTTTTTTTAGGAAATTAATAAACATTTTCCAAGTATAATAATAATAAATTCGTTTGAATAACAGAAAGGTGAATTTATTTAAAATTTAGTGATTGCTTTGTTTAATTTATCACCTATAATTCTCTAACGGATCGTTAGGGTATATCTATGATATTAATTTTACAATATTGTTGCGCATACGTTGTTGCTTTGTTTCACTCGTATCAATAAATTCCAATATAAATACACGTATCATTTATTAAGGTCGATTGTATATTGGCAAATCAACAATAGAAGATTCCTAATAATTCTGATGAAACATTTATTTAGCGAACCAATCCGCATAATGGACGTTTCACGAGTTCACTGTACACCCAATATGGGCGCTTTGATAACGCTAATTTCAGTTCTGTCATTCGTGTACGTGTCCTGGGACAATAATAGCTCGGTCTGGTGAATTCAGTCACATGTTCTGCAAGAACATTCGTTGCATTAGTGTAGAATTATAATATCTCTCTTTTAATTTCGTATTTTATCACGATAAAATACTTCAAACTCGTAGATTCTAAATCCAAATTTATTTTTTTACACGATAAAAACTTCAAAGAGATTTACGTAATTTCTTCTCGTCTCTGATATAAATTAATGATATTATTATTTTTTTCCCTTCTGCCTTAATTAGAAAAAAACTCTCTAGAAAAAAAACTAGAAAAAACTCAATTAGAAAAAAATAATAACAATAACAACAATAATAAATAATATTTCAAGATATTAAACTATCTTTCTGCTGATTAAATTATTAAAAAAAAAAAAAAGAGGTTTCTACATCGACTATTCTACATAAAAATTCTTTTAATCATCTGCTTACCTTCTGGCTCACGCTAATCTCAGTTCCGGAAGTGCATGTGTTGCTAATAGACAATGGATACCGTATCTCACAGGGTGCACACGTGTTCGAACTGATACGCGGATATCGTGTACCATTGGGCCGAGTATCCATGCCAGTCCTTTGTGTCCTTCGAACAAAGGGTTCGAATAAACGAGAAAATAATAATATTCCTCGAAATAAAAATCGAGATTTCGAATACGTCTAAACTCCAAGATGGAAACTTGTTTTCTTTGACGAGTGCACGAGTTGAAATGCTAACCATTTTCCTCCCTTTGCCCTCGTGGTCCAACTGAGTTAATTAGCTTAATAAACTTTGAGAGGATGGATCGTCATGACGACCACTCGATTCCCTTTGTAAAATGACTGTATGCTGTTTATTCGTAAGGGATGAAATTTTGGCAAGATGATAACTTTTGTGATAAACGTAACTTTAATTTTGTATATGTAAATTGGTCGGCCAATAATGAGGAAAAAGAAAAAAAAGTATATTAATTTTAAATTATGATTTGGTCTACAGAACATAACCTATATAACATGATCTGATTTAACCTTTTACCTTTTGAAGCTTGTCGTGAACTCGAATTAAATTCTTCGTATTCATTTATTTTTAAATAATACATTTTGGAAAATATAAACTAACTTTGCAACTAAATTTGTTAAAAATATAACCTTTGAAGATCGCGAAATTAATGTATATTTGTATAATGTATATACTTCTTCATATCGAGAAACTTTAACAATAATTTTGTGAATTATATATTTCTTATTTAAATCACTTTCGAATAATTAAAAATCTTAATTTTCTATCAATATATTTTCAACGATTATTTAATTGAAAAAAATAAATAGTGAATCTGTGCAATAAAATATAAAAAAGAAAAATTTTGTTTTTCATCGCTAATCAGTACGCGAAAAGAAACCGCTAGAAAGTTCGCGATCCTTTGATCTTTCCCCGACCAAAAAGATCCTTTTTTCCCCTCTGCCAGCTGTCCCGATACTCGCTGACGTTCCGGTGTTTCCAATTAACGTCGAGAATCGCGACTTCCAGCCGACGTCGCGTTTCCTTTTTCACGAGTGCAACCGGTAAATTACTTTTTAAGTGTCTCCGTCGGCATTAAGGGCGACGACGTTGCTTAATGACTGTCCAGCTGTGTTCTAACCTCTCCACGTGATCGATCATTCTCTTAAAACTTTACTTTCGACTTCGTTTAATTTCGCAAATTTTTCCACGAAAATTTCGCGTTGCGAATATCGTTAATATCTCAATATTCTTCTTTTTCCTTTTCTCGTATTCCCAAAATTTGGAGAATAAAGTTAGGTTAGGTTTAGAGAAATTTTTAAAAAAGATGATAAAGTTGCTTAAATTGCATTTAACAATTTTTACGAGAAACGTGCTTTTAATTGGATTTTTCTTTAAAATTCAAAAATTTGTAACGAAGAATAGGCGAGAGAGGTTCGAGCTTAAATCGCATAGGTTTTTTTCAAAGAGCAGTGGATAACGCGGCAAATTTAAATGGAAAGTAAATGGACTTTTGATCGAATAGCCAGAGGTAAAAGGTTGAATCAAGAATTGTCGCGAATTTGCTTGCCCAACACAAACGAAAAAGTTTGATACATTTTAAACATCCATATCGCGTGTTCCATAACAAAGTTTTGTTTTAATGCATTCAGAAAAATCGATCGGATCTCTTTTTTTCTACTTAAATTATATATATATATATATATATCCAAAACACGATATTTCGAAAAATCAAGCGAAATATTTCAAATGATAAATAAAACGAAGATTAAATATAAATATTTTATAACGTGGAAATTTTAATATTGAAGTGAAACTTGGATTTAATCATTTTGAATCCATTCAATTCATTCAATTTCGACGATCATTATATCATTTAACTTTTTCATCAAATTTAATAAATCCAACGATCACAAAAAATCCCTGGAACTTAAAATCGTAATCACCCAAGTGATCAAAGAGATACTCGATTCACAAATCGAACGAACGCAGCGAACATCTCTAAAAAACGTCTCCAAATCGATTACGTCGCAACACTGCAAATTCTCAAACAAATTAAAGTGT